CTAAATACAGTTCTAATAACAACACAAAAAATTAATAACAATATTGACAAAATTAATAACTATGTAGAAATACAATTAACTATATACAAAACATAAATATATTACTAAAAAATACTATTAAACTACTAAAGCATTAACAAAAAATAATTTATTAAGTCTAAAAAAAATAGAAAACAATATAGCTTATAAGCAAAAAATTCAAAGCAATATAATAAAAAAATATAACTTCCTAACTAATATTATAAAGATAATTAATATTATGCTACAAAGGCACAAACTTAGTTATACTCAATAGCATTACACATCTAAGCAAAATTATAACAAAACTATAAACAATCAAAAAAGAAATCAAGAAATACTTTGAAGTATAGACAAAAAGCAATTCTACAAACAATAGCTACTGGGCAAAATAACAAAAACAATTTTAGTCATATAAAAAAATAAACAAGTCTTAGTACAATACAATATTAAATTCTATAACAATGCAAGAACTACAAACAAACCTACAGGAATTACCAAATGGCAAGACAACAGAACCAAAACAAATATTAAATAAGATGTTTAAACACTTAGATACACACACTTGCAATCTATTGCTAAAAATTTTTAATGCATGTTTTATACTCAAAACAATTTCTAAAATATAAAAACAAAGCAAATGTCTATCTAATATCAGAAAAGCAAAAATTCTTAAAAAAACTTAATAAGATATGCTCAATTACTTTAATCAAACATACAAGAAAAATTTTTATAAAAATTATAACAAAATAGCTAAATACAAAAATTCAATCTTATGTTGCAATTTTCAATATAACACAAACACCAATTGTTACAATTAGTTGTATTTTAAAAGATGCTTAAACTTAAAATAAGAAACTATAGCTTTTAAGTTAAAATATGTTAAAAGCATATAATACATTTTATATTTTCTTATTCAAAAAAGCATTGCAGAGAATACAGATATTTGAAAAGACAACAGAATTAATTATAGGCTAGAGGTTAAAACTAGTTTTATTTTTATTAACTAGTTTTATCAGCTTTTTAAAAATTATAGCCAAATATAAATCAGTTATAATATATCTAATTAAATTTGATCAACTGAGTATAATAATTCAGTTAAATCTGATTAATTGGTTATAATAATCTGGTTAAATCAGATTAATCAGTTATATTATAACTGATTAATCAGATTATTATAACCAATTAATTAGATTTAATCAGATTAATCTAAAGGATTATATTTGGCTAAATTTAATTAATAGGTTAATTACTATGCTGTTTTTTTAAATTCTGGATCAGTTAAAAGCATAAACTGAAATTTAAAAGAAAAATTGTAATAATATCATTTGAATTTAGTTTACATTTCTAACTCTGAAACATTAAATAAAAAATTCACTGAATAAGTTTTGGTATAATTCATATATAAAATAATGTAGGTTTTTTAATATATAATGATTGATTATAAAGAGTATTAAAATATTAACACATCAAGTTTTCTTATAATTGTATGTTCAATATGTTTTGTATATTTAGTCTATATGAAAAATTATAGTAAAAACTGTTTTTCTTAACTAACATAACAAGGTTTGAAATATACTGTAAAATAAGGCATTAATAAAAAAAAGATATTATCAAGAATTTATTGACAAGATCAAAAAAAAATATATATAGTATATAAATGCAAATTATAATTTAGATATTTACCAAAACTACAATAATAATGATAATTAATAAAAACAAAGCAAAAAATTTGTATATTAAATTATTTATTTAAAAGCTTCACTATATAAATAATATAAAATTCAGACCAAAAAAACAATTAGCATGAATTAGATAAAAGCATTGAATGATAGATTTAAAACTAAGAGTCTTTGAATTATTTATCTATAATAAATATTTTAAAAATGCTTAGTTTGTCTGAAGTACTATAGCTAAATTTGAAATATCTAACTTGTCAACAATTTTCATCTAATATGCATTAAAAATGTAATATATATTATAAGACTTTCACAGCTGTTCTTATAAATTTTAAAACATCTGGCAAAAAATTAGCAAAATGATTATTTAACTGATTTGATTTAGTTCAATTAATTGCCAAACATATAGGTGTTAGCAGATTTATATATGAGTCAAATTCTTAAATATTTTAAAAAATACAAGTGTGATAAAAACTTCTGGCACTTAAGATTTATTAACTTTGGATAATATAAAATATTTTAAAACATTGGTATTTGTATAAATTACAATTAGAAATAAAGCTTTAATTAAGACTAAAATCACTGATGCAACTGATAACTATCTAAAATCTGATTGGCAATTGTTACCAGTTTCACTAGCATGATTTAGTTCATCAGCAACTCTAATTAAGACACAAAATTGGTTTATCAATAACTTGAAATGTTTATATTGCTTGGACATATAAATAAAGGAGTATATATTTTAAATATATATATTATAAAATTTATATTAAAATTTAATTATATATAAATTTTGACTTACAAAAAAATGAAATAAAGTATTAAGATAATTTTACTTTACAAATATTCCAATATACACCTAGTATTTTTAGAATATTGTTACTATATAATCATATCCAAATCAAAAGTTTATCAAAAACTTATCAAATCAGCCACATAATCATTTGATCAATTTTTTTTGCTAGATGTTTCAAAATTTATAAGAACAGCTATAATCATTATTAAATTACAAATTTATCAAATCAACAAATATTAATTTGATTAATTTTTTACAAGATATCTTAGAAATTATAAAAATAACTGTAATAGATGCATCTTAGTGTTAGTTATTTCTAATTTATATATTAATAAAAACACAACACTTTAGTACATCTTTAGAAATAATATAGATTTACTTTATTTTATTTTTTTTGTTTATTTTTTTTTAAAAAAAAGCAATACTGCTTCTGGATCAGAAATAGTTTGAAAGTATCATTACATAAATATTGTTAGCAAGATTCAAATTGTAAGCTTTAATTAAGCTGTTAGAAAATCTGTCTAAGCATTATTATGCAGTTGGCCTTTGTTCTATTATAACCTATTAACTAAATATAGATTATGCCTATATATGACTTATATAAATTAGATTTATTTTTTATTTTGTTAAAGTTGATATTGATTACATAATTAATTAATTTATAATTTAATATATAAAGATTTTAAAAACAATGCTTTTTGCTCTCTTATAATAATAATTTTGCTTAAATTATTACTATATTACAATGCTTCTACTTGATATATTCGAACTTTAGAACTTTATAAGTTGCTTTTTTTTGTAATAAAGAATACTACCTTATAGTTTTATAAATTTACTATATTAATATATTGAATATAAAAAATGAAAATATAGTTTCATTAAAGTAAATAATTTTCTTATATTTGGATTTTAATATAAGTTTTATATATATATATTGAAAAAGTATAAAAAATATTCTAAATCTGAAAAACACAAATATACACTACTACAAAGCATTAAATATTAATCAAACTACTTTAATATGACTTTAATAATAGTTAAACTACAATTAAGATATAGAAAAACTTGGTCTAAGTAATTAGAATATTAGATTAGAGTTAATTAGAGCTTTATATTATATTACAAGACTCTAATTTAAACTACAAATTAGATTTTATATAAATTTTATATATCAGAAAACAGAATTGGCAATAAAGTTTAATAGAGCCTAATAGAACTATAAATAAAATCAATAGAACTCTAAATGAAACTAATGGATAGTAGTGTTTTGAGTTCTATTTATATAATTATTGAGCTCTATTAGTTCTATTGCCAATCCTGATAGGAGTAGTAAAACTAAACACTTTTACTTAAAAACTTAGAACCTTTTAATAATTTCTATTCACTTATTATTTTTGGTATTTGAAATACAAATACCCAATACATATACTAATATTTACTAAATTTTATCACTATATGGTGCTTTACTAAAAAGAAAATAATATAGAAAAAAAAAACTCTCTAAAAAATTAGAGTAATCTGTGCCTTTCACAAAATATATACACTCATGTACTAATATAAAATTATATATACTGATACTTTGGTTTTACTTAAAAAAAAAAAACTATAAAAATAGAAATAAAAAAAAATTAAACAGTACTACAGAACCTTTTATACATAGTTATAAGATTAAATTTAAAAAGAAAGAATCTCTTTTAAGATTATTAAAAATTCTATCACTATTATAATTTTCTAATTTTCATACTCTTAAGGTAATTGATTAGTACCCAAAGCCTAAGATATTATTTTTGTAATAAAAACAAATCAAAATAAATCTTATTACATTTTAAAAATAAAATCTTATTTACTAAGCCAGAAGATGAATATGTTTGTTTTGCTGAAATATGGTTACTGCTATTGGAAAATAATCACTTGTTCAGTATAGAAGTAGTCAGGATGAAAAGATACTTGTATAATAATTGAGCCAAAATAGAAAAGCTACTTTTGTTTTTTAATTACCATTCTAGAGGATCATCATTAACCTTGATTTCTTGAAACTTTACATAATATGTTACTTTATCTTCTTTTTTTATATTTGTTTATGCAGAATTTGCTTCAAACTCTTAAAAAAAATCATTATCAATACTATAACTTCTATCTACTAAGCCTTTTTCAATGTTATCTAGAACTGTAAGACTTATCTTCAACTCTTTATATAAGATTTTTACCAAATTTTTTGCATTATTTTATTCAATACTTGTTATTCACTTAAAATATTTGAATCTTAAATCAAGAAATATAACAACTAAAGCATTATCCAATGAAACTGATCATAACTTATTTATTAACAAATAAATAGCAGACCAAATTCTATTAAGCAAGCTGATAGTAAAAACTGGTAATAAATTCTCTACTTTGTCTATATCTTCTAAATCTTTATTATTAGATCATCTTGGCATTCTTCTATTTTGTTTGCAACCATGACTACAAGCAAATATTCTTTGATAAAATTGTATATGTGCATATTGCTATTGTTGACAAGTACTAGCAACTAGAATATTATCATCACTTGTTTCATCATTCTCATTATCATCATTTTCTGCTTCTTTATAAATAAGATTCAAATAGGTATCTATCATCTTACCTGCCTTTGGTGCAAATCTCTTTTTAAGTATTTTTATATATAAATAAACAAGATTAAGAGTTGGGTACTTAGTACTACATAAATGTTAAGTTACTTTTTTTAATTGGTTCTAGTAATATTACTATATCTTGCAAACATCTGTAATAAAAAAAAAAAACAAATTAATCTTTGTAAAATGAAGATTACTAAAAAGAAAAATAAATATGATTATAATGGAATCTAAAATAATATAGGATTGAGGTTTAAAAAAAACCAATTTAAGAATATAATAATAAGAGGCTTTATTATAGATTCTATATTATCATGTAATACTACTAGTGATATGCTATATACTGTATGCTAAAATTTTGACAATTATTTTATAAGCTCTGAAGTTTAAACCATAAAACTTATAAGTATTTAAATATTTCGAAACAATTATAAAATATTATAAAATTATAATATAAAAAGCTTTTTACTATATATACTGTATATACTGTATGTTAAAAAAATCTAAGTATTATTCTGTCTGCTGTTTCAACTATCTCTTGAAATTTTACAATTAACATCTATACAGATTCTCAATCCATAATATCAAAATTCATTCAATTCAATCAATCATCTTTAAATCCTAATAAACTCTTTAAATTTAATTTTGGCCATTATGACATATCTTATTAAATATTATTAAATTATACAAATTAAATATTATTTTCTATAAAGTTTAAGCCTACTTAAACAATAC